CCAACTTAACCTCAAGAAAAGTCTATCATGACTTATTATCTCCTACGAGTTCTCAAATTTTTCAGAATTTGAGACTCGAGGCACTGATTATACTTGAAATGACTGATACGTCTTGTCTTATTAGACAAATTATCTTTGATCTTGACATGACTGGCCTGAATATTCACATAACTGAATAATCATGACTTGACTTTTACATGGCTGAGTCATCTATACCTGAACTCTAAAAGCTATCCCGAGACAACTAAATAGTCGCCTCGGAATTTGGAACATGACATTTACTGATTTACTTGACTTGATAAGGTGCGACTTCAAGTTTCCAGGTAAATTTGGATTAATAGTCTGTATTGCAGACCTCCATATTTAACCCGACTGAACAACTATTATACGTCGACCTTAAATCATGAACATTAGCTCTAAATCTTGAACATTGACTCATGACTATGTACTATATAGGGTTGTTCCAGTATCAACTGGTCCCGCAAGTACAAAGGAATTAGCTGATCTTGATATTTGAAAACCTTAACTTGAAGTATCATGACTGACAAAATACATGACATGACTGACTTTAAAGGTTGTGATTATATGAAATCATACTGCTCCGGTCCCAGCTTCAAGTCTCCATGGTATACCCGACTGAGTGGCTCTTATTTCAAGTCTCCATGATAACCCGGACTATTGGCTCATATACACTGGAAACCGTTATCTTGACAATAACTTGGAAATTATAACAACCTTTAGTAGAAAGATTTTCGCCTTGAACATGATTTACTGACCTGACTGAAGAAATTTGAGTCTATTCCTCGAATTGAATCAAGGAATTCCTCCCTGGAGTCTGCCAATTGATTGGCAAAATGGCAATTTTCGATAGAAAATGTCTGAGGAGCATGATTGCTAAGATTTGTACAACAAGAGTGCCTACAAATCTCTTGACAAGTTGCTAACTTAAGTTGGAATATATCTAGAATTGAATCTAGAGTTTAGCTTAGCCCCTTTTCTAAAGTTCTGAATTCTGATTCGAACATCTTTACTGATAACATTTGGAAGTTG